GAGCCAACTGGTTCCCTGCTTGACCCCCTACACACCCCATACTCACACAGTCAGGCCAGGTTTCCTTTCTGGTTCGACCCCTGGTTTCCCACAGCAGACTCTCAGACATCTTGTTCCATAAAGCAGCTTTCTTACAGCAGAGTAACACAGAAACAGCCTGAGTTAGTGCCTCTGAAGAGGGACCCCCAGCAAAGAAACCCCTGGGCTTTTATATCCTCACTGTCTACCCTTGCACAAGTCTTGCTCTTCCTCCCAAGTCTTCGGCTCCTTCTGTGTCTCTCAGTGTCCATTCACCTGGCTGGGGCCACCTGTCTTTGTGCCCTTTGGTATCCCAAAGGTTGGCAGTTCACAGCACTTGTGTCTCTGGGCTTCAAGCTACCTGCACCAGATGTCTTCCTCAGCACTATGGAGCTGTCAGGTGACAGACCAACCCCTAATATTTTGAAAATACATCCTTCGGCATGCTGTATTTGTAGCAGGTGTCACTAGAACATCGTGGGCAGCTTAGACATAGTGCCATAGACAGCACTGAAATCAGTGCATGGTAAACACAAAATTATTAGTAACAAACAAACTTACTGGTATTTTTTTCATGATGGTAAGCCTTGAACTAGGTATTGAGTGTAGCATAGCAAGAAGAAAATAATGGTTAGAATATGTATGGAACACCCCTGTGTAATTGGTGTTGAATGTCTAGGATTACCCAAGTTACCTGCAAAATTCTGCAATTTCTTGCTGATCTACTTATGTAAATCATGACTTCTAAAGATCTATCTAGAGAGTTTTGCATATCTCTGCCTGTAGGTATTTAAAAGCTCAATCCTACATGTAAAATAAATCGCTATGTTAAACATATATAATGTAGCCAGAATGAGATAAGACTCTGTCTTTTGTTGTTTAGTCAGTGTAATTTGTAATAAAATTTAGAAAATATTTACAAAAATTACTATCCCAAGAACTGACCTTCTGCTATAATGACATTCCATATGTATTCTTCAATATAATGATCTAGAGTGGATTTATATTTCTTAGTTCTATAGAAATGCAGAACAAAATTAAGATTTACATATATATATATATACATATGTATGTATATAAAATGTATGTATAGAAAATGTAATCCTCTATGTTCTGATATTTACTGTTTTGTACATGTTTTGTTATTCTATGGGAACGTGGCCACTCTGGCCATAATTCCACCACGTTCTGGGCTCAGTGATGATACCAAGTCTTCAACTGGCTTAGTAGGTGCTCCAAGTGAAGGTAACTTCAGGGGGCCTTCAGCTTCAAGAAGCAGAAGCAGTAGGACACGGTTCTCTGCCACGCCTGACTTCACAGCTGGGAGGTTTTCAGTGTTGTATTGCCGATTTAAAACAAGAGTTCAAAAATTTGCCACATGATGGCACCAGAAAAGAAGAGAAAATAATTCCTGGGACAGCTGCATGGCAGAGTGCACAGCTGTCAGCAGCACAGATTCAGCTGCACAGTGATGTGTACGTGGTAATAGCTTGTGCAACTGCTGATGGCGTCGGTGGCTCCCACAAAGTACTAATCTATTGACCCTTGAATAGCATCCATAGCTTTGTGTAATCTTCATTTCAAATTTGTCATTCATATTGGACCAGACCTCCACCAGTGATCTATATACAGAATTTCCCAGGGCTCTTGGTACTCCCTGAGTCTAGAGACTGCTGAGATGTGCAGTTTCTCGTGGCACAGTGCCTGACCCGTTTTTTCCCTCTTTTCCCACAGAGGATAAGTACGGCGAGCGGGGACGGCCGACATTACTGCTACCCACACTTCACATGTGCAGTGGACACAGAAAACATCCGCAGAGTGTTCAACGACTGTCGAGACATCATTCAAAGGATGCATCTCCGCCAGTACGAACTCTTGTGAGGGGGATCACCGTGGAACCTGTGGTTTTAAATTCTTTGCTCCTTACTCTTTCTCTTGATACTACCCCACACAGGGTGGAAGAATATACTATAGAAATGTCAGTCTCTTCACTTTGTTTACTTTAATTATTTAACCTTAAAGCTGATTTGAAGCAAGTTTGGGTTATTTTTCCTTCATGCTTTTTGGGACTATTTTTGTGCTTTTTTTTGACATGCCACTTCTTCGTCATTCCACTAAGCCCTCCGGCTACCTCTGTTCCCTTAGGTTTTGTTTGTTCAAACTGAACGTGGCCTGCTAAATTTTTTCCAGCGGGTTAACGTCAGTTCAAACTGGTATGTCAGCTGGATGACACTAAAGTCATACCTATCCCTCTGTGTGGGTTTCCTTTTTAACATGACATTGAAGAGTACTTGATGGGTGAAAAAAAGATTAATGCACTTTGTATCAGGTTATTAAATACTGTTGAGGAAGTAGACACACAATGTAGCAGCACCACAATATTTATTACTCTGTCACAGTTTTTAGCATTTCTGAGTTGCAGGTCAACTGATAAAGTGACCTCCTCTTTTAAGCCGTTACTGGCACAGGAAGTAGAGTAGATAATGAGAGGAACAGTGAAGACAAAGCAATTTTTCTGGGGTTTTGGAGCTAAGTGTCTCTGCACACCTCAGGCATTTGAATTAAAGCTACTTTTCAGCCTGTTGCATCTAGGCAGAAAATTTACCACCCTCACTTATGTTATTTGTGCTGTCCACAAAATGATCCTTTTAGTTCCGATCATTCTTGGACAACAGTCCTCTCCCTATATATATTTTTTTGTTTTACTGCTGGTTTATTATATTGTACAGACTGTAAAATGTAATATTATTTTGTACAACTTTATTGAAGAAAAATACTTGTAGAAGATCTTTGTGCCTTGATTATGGCTGTACCTGTAAAATGAGCTAAGATGTAAGTATGTTTTTGATTGCGCTGTACAGCTTGATGTCAACCTTACCTGCAGCAGTGACTGGAGGTAAGAACTTTATCTGTAGAGTTTAGGGGTTTTTTTCTGGTTTATATAAAAATGCTCTTTAGTATAAAAATTATAAATTATGCAAATTAACCACTTACCTTTCCAAGTAAGGTATTACAGTCACCGGATGTTGCAGCAAACATGCCTTTCTCTTTTGAAGTCTCAGCTTTAAAACATTGGAATCCATTCAAGTGTCCAAATTGCAACCTGGTGTTGTTTTAATGGGAACCAAGGATTATTTTTCTTTTCCTTTATATTTAGAAAATATGTTTGGTAATTCTTTGGTCATTCATAGAACTTCACAATTGCACAGACCGATTGTGAATGTGTAAAGCACCATTATATAGAGCTCTTCAATCTTTGTACCAACAGCGGCTTTCATTGTGCAAGTAAATAGCGAGAAAGAAGATAAGACAAAACAAAAAAAGGTGTATAAACCCTCGTGTCTGGCCTAAGAGAATTACAAGATGACATTTTTATTTCTCTTTTAATAAAGAGACACATTAGAAAATTGTTTTATTTTAAATATTGTAGAATCAAAATGTGTGAATATTTCTCAAACTTGAATAATTTATGCAAATGACATTCTCAAAACAAGTTGTGGTACAGTACAATATATAAAAAGCAAGAATTGCTGTAGCAATAAGGCATGTCCTTTTTAGTAACTATAACACTGCTTTATATTTTATACATAGGTGTTTTATGTCTGTGACTATATACTTTTCCTGTGTCCAAGATAACCTGTACAAATGTCTAAAATTACAGTTGCAATAACAGAAACCTAGAGAAGTGTTAGACTACATTACTTTATAGAGTGTTTTACCACACTTCAGACCATTCCCCCCACTCCATTTTAAATTTAGGGAGAGATTAAGAGCTAACACAGTCCCCACATTGGTTATAAATCAGCAGGTTTTATTAACTTTTTACTCTTAAGTATCCTTATTAGTTACAAACCCCAATCAGTCATCTTGTTCAATTCTGACCACGGACCAATTGAGAACTTGTTTCTAGTTGATGATAAATCAGTCCCATTTTAGATACTCTAATACGACTCTTCCCAGGAATGTGTATGTTCAATTTAGTCATACTTCCCAAACAGGGAAAGGCTGGGTGGAATAAGCTAATGGTAAATAAAACCCCCCAAATTCTCTCACTTCCCATGCCAAAGAAAGTAATAGAGCAAAAAACAAAAGATAGTCTTTTTTTTTAAACTAGCCCCAGCCCAGAAGTTCAGGTTAGAGCTCCCAGCCTCTGCAGGAACATCAGCAGGCAAACTGGTCCTGGTGTGAAATAATCCCTCTAGTTTTTCTGGGGTGGGTGGGGAGCAGCAGTAGGTTTGTCCCACCTTCCCTCACACAACATGTGAAGACTCTGAGCTCAGATTTTATCTTCTCTGTGCTGCCACCCAGGCCAAGGCAGCTGGTGGCCTCAGCCTCCTCACGGAGGAGCTAGTGCAGTTCAAAATGTGACATTACAATAAAGTCAACAGAACTTGGTGGCCCTGCAGCAATCTCAAATAAGGCGCATTCCTATCCCTGTCTGTCCTTAGACTGAGGGCCAAGGCTTAGGATAATGTTACTGCAGCTGTATTTGACCTTCCTTCTCGCAGAAGATCGGCAAGTGGAGGGCCCCTCACCACACTGATCTCTGGAATGCAACAGGGCCCTCTTTTTTTAAGCTCATCATAGCACATCTTTTGAAAATAGCAGCTTGAGGTGTCACCCAATTTTATTTTTTTTAAGCAGGTTTCAAGTGTGTATCAGCAAACTGGATCCACAAGCTTCTTCCCGTTGTTGTCTGGTAGACGATAACTGCAAATTATAGTCAGCTAACAATTTACTGTGCCAGGAACCAGAAGATTTCTTGTCCCAAACCACAGTCCCTTACATGAGACGCCCTAAAAAGATTATGGAAATCTGCATCTGTCAGTGCTGATGCATCTAGTTTCTGCCTGACCCTAACAAATACAAGTATGACATTAGAAGGGCCATGCAGCAATAAAACAGAGAAACGTTTCCAGTTTGCAGGACTCAGCCTCCACCAGGGTAAGACACTAGTGCAGACAAGTGATGAGGCTATAGGATTTACATAATGTACAGTTACACTTTTAATATACAAATTTGATACAAAAATTATAGCAGGAAAAGGACTCATTTGATTGTCGAATACAGTATTTTTGTACAGCATGAAACGTTCATTTCAGTTAATTATTTATCCTGTAGTAGTCATATCAGCTGTATAGGACTTCTATGGTATGTGTAAATGCAACCTGCCTTCAGACTAGCAATCAAATTAGGTCATTTGCTGGCATGAATATAGTCTGATGTTTGACTGTTCTCAGCTTTGGTATTTCAGTGACTGAATGCAGATGTCTGGCTCTTCATACTGCTTTATGCTTACTGATTAAACGCTGAGCAAAATAAAACGGTGGAGTGAGAAGCTGAACATGAGCTAGTATCAGGATCACAAGCAGAGCACCTGCTGCACAGTATATAGTAAAGACTCTGCTCTCATACGGAAGGAAGCATTTTTGGAGGGAGAAGTCAGTTGGTGTTATGCTGCCCTGGAAAAGAAATGAAGACTGTCACTTTGCTGTTACAGTGAGTTCTGAATCAGGAGTAAACACCACGGCTGTCAGATCTCCAATTCCTAAATCCTATGTTGGGTGGCAAGGGTTGGGGCCAGTTTCCTAGTACCAGTGCCTTCTCCAGGGGGCTGAAGAGTCCATACCTTGCGGTGCTGGGCACTAACTGGAATATTCACCAGGCCAACATTAGCCCAGAGGCCAATCTATCCATCTAGCGTAAATAGAGAGCTGGGCTCCTCATCTGATTTGCCTTCAAGAGAAGCCTAACTTTAGCTGCTGTAAATCCACCTGGAAGGAGCCTTTCCAGGCTAAAGTTAGGTTTTGTGAATGTGCCCCTTCCTCCTCCCGAGCCCTCCTCCTACCCAGTACATGCTGCAAAAAACACGTTGGCTAATCCAAATTATGAACTTTAACAACAAAGAACTTCATTGGGTTTTGGCTTGACTTTGCAGTTCAAATTAACGTTTACAATGGACCGAGGCCGAGGAATTAAAACAGTAGTGAAGACGATGCGACTCTGATTAGCCAACCTCTTGTTTTGCAGTGAAGATGCACTGTCTGGCGTGTGCAGAGAGCGTGTGTAGTTTGAAGGCAGCTACTCTCAGGAATATGGAATAAACAGAACTACTTTCAACAACAAATACTAACAGTTGCATAACGTGAATTTCAAAGTTTGGGGTTATCTGTGTATTAAGCAGCCTAAACTCAACAGCAGTAAAAAAAATACAAAAAAGATTTCCCCCCTCAAGTCACAGACTACTCTGTAAACAGATTGTAGGTTTTGCTTCTTACTCCAAGTTTCTAGGAGTTCTGTTTTATTTTTGAACTGGGGAACTAATTGATTTACCTCTGAGGATATACTGAGCACTGGAACTGCCTGCACAAGCCTAACCAACACACTGTATGAAATGTGACTTGGCAGAGGAGGCAGACTGTGGGCACGTGGCAGACGCTTCCACTGCGCCAAGCAGTGAAGGCACAACTCTGAAAACCACCATGACCGTGCAAAAGAGTTTGAGGTGGACACAGTCTTGTTTTCATAGTTGGTAAATCAACCAAGCCAAACTAGTCTTTCTGCTGTTCAGTGCACAGTACTGATTATTTTTACAAGTCAATAGTTTACAATGCACCCTCTTTATAAGAAAATGTTAGATGCTTGTACCCAGATACGAATTAGATCTTTAACAGCCTTGCTTTGTACCACACAGAACATGTGGCTCCCACAGCTGTACTTTATAAAGTGGATGCAGTGTACTGAGTGGGTTGGGTGGGTAGGCAATTTTTTTTTTAATTATTTTTCATTTTTACAGGTAGAATCAGTTTTAAAATATAGCTGACTGCCATGTTGATTTATTTATGAAAGTTATCTGACAAAAATAAAAAAAATTAAAACTTACCATGATGAAACTAGGATTGTTTCTATTCCTCCAACTGAACGACGGGACGCTGATTTCTGGAACCCTCCCCGCGTGCAGCACTTCACACGCACTGTGTGTGTGCCCACTGAGAATCAAACGGGGCTGAAACCACCACAGCAGCTAGAACATCAAATAGTAAAGCACAAGAATTAAGTCACAACTAGAAACAAATTGCGCTGACCCCCCCCATTTTTTTTTCTTCTAACAGAATGAACTTACGGCAATTCTGATACCCTTACAAAGTGTTTTGGGTAAACAGCTGTTTTCCCGTAAGAAATGTGTTGGCATTGCAATATTAATCACACCCATTTGGTCCTGATCTCAAATACTGGGCTCTTTTTTGGCCATACACATCAGAAGAACAAAGGAAAAAGAATGCTTTTGATATCACAAACAGGAAAACTTCAGGTTTAGTAAAGCAAATGCTGTTTTCATATCTTAAGGAAGAATCTTTTACTGACAATCTTGAATGAAGACCTTTATGCAGAAGGAAACAAATACCATTAGGGTTTTAGGGAATACTTTATCTTTACATTTTCTTGTAGTTACTAATTCAACAAAAGGAATGCTTTAAAAGTGTTGGAAAACTGTGGCTTCCTACCAAGTTTGTCAACAGTCTACACAATACAGAAAGTACAAAATGCTAAAGGGGAGATAACAGCACTGCAGCAGACTTAAGAGCACCAGGACTCAGGCCCTGGGAAACTCACCAGAATCAAGGCCTTGATGGTGATGATGCTCAGGGGAGCAGCTCTAACAGCAGCCTCTGACAGGCCTCATTAAAGCAGGAGCAGTTGTGCTCTGTTTGTCTCAGCTAAGAGCCTTACCACAAGGTTTTAGTCTATTTATATCTACACTCACGTCCCCCTCTCACCCACCCACCTATACTCAGGTTCCCAATAAATCAAACCTTTTGTGATGCCTCTTGAGACAGCACATCATACTTCTCTTTGAAGGGCATGTTCTTCTCCTCTGGAGGAGCAGAATCTTCTCCGCTGCATTCAGCATCACTTTTTCGATAGAGAGGGTAATGCTGGGAGTAATTAAAAGCAAGGAACAGTTGTTAGTGATTCAGCTTTTCTGGAACAGTAATAAATACACCAACCCAACATGTCAACATGTTGCCTCATCCAACCTGTAACACACCTGTAAAAGGATGGGTTCCGAAGCTGGAAGCTTTTCCACACCACTGCATCTTTTGTTGGAATTACTTGGTTTCTGTGAATAAAAGGATACATGTCTTCACCCCTGTCTACCATAGCAGGGGTGAAGGTGATTATGCAGTAGTTAGGTTTTGAGTGGTTGGGGGAATTTGTTGGTTTGGGTTTGGTTTTTTAAAAAAGCAGTATCAGCTCAGAGTACAGTGTTTAAATACTATCCACTGTATAAACTTCTAAGAGTTTTTTTCTTTGGACTGATGTAATTCCCTGTTCTGTGTATGCTGTGAATGTCTGTGCTCTTGTTGAATGCAGAAAGCAATAGTAGGATCTCGTGGCACAAACAAGGCACAGGAGTTTGAGGGCAGCCTGAAAGAGAGTCTAGCACTTTTTCCACTGGGAGTTGGTTTCCTGCCTGACTGCCAGCCCAGTCAGTCATACTGCCTACTGTGCAGCCAGTCAGCCTGTGACAAAAGGAAGATGAATGAAAGACAAGAAGCAATTGGATTTGATCAAAAAATACTACAATTAAAACATTACTAGGCTATCAAGACAGGACTGCAGTAGAATGAAGAAGCTAAAAGAACAGGTGAGCTTGAAGGCTATAAAACAGAATAATATGCATAAATATAAATGCAGGATTATGTATCTCAAGTCAAAGGGAGTGTTAGAGACCTTCTGCCATTCCTTGGAACAGAGGAAATGACACCCCCTGTTGTCAACACTAACAAGGAAGTCAACACCATTGGCGCAAAGCAACAGAGTTAAGTAAAAATGGTAAGAGGGAAATGAGGAGATTTGTTAACAAGTTTCAATATGAACTGGAAGCAGCTTGTTTTTTTCAGGAGACTATTGCTGCAGTATCTGTATTCCCATAGTGGCAGCTGAGTTGCTGTGTAAGCAGATCTTTAATAAGCTCTTACCTGCTGGGAACAGTTCAGTTTGTGAGAAAGTGCCACAAGCTTTGCCTCTGAGGTACTGCAGACAGCACAGCCATCACCCTCCATGGCTACACTGTTCACTAGGACAAAGCTGGAAAATACCAGGGGTGGGCAAAGAGAAGGGTAGTGGGGAGGACAGGAAAGCATTTGTTGTTCATGCACATGTGTGGGATAAACTTTCTTTTATAAAACACACGTGTTCCAGAGTTGGACACAGCTCAACACCACAGCAGAACGTAACAGCTTTTGGAATCAGGTGCGATAAACCCTCTTTTGAGAGTTTCTCTGCCTGGCAAGCTGCTTTATAACCAGCTGTTACTGAGGTTGCATATTACACCTGATGCTATACTTCACCTTTAAGCTTCAAGGGCTTTTTTATATTTTAACAGATGCTGAAGTGGTGTTCTAGTGGAATGTCAGAAGTTCATCACTAAGCTGAATTCTGAATTGAGAACTTGCTTCTCTCCCCACACACACACTGTAGACATCAGAGACAGAATTTTAGCCATTCAGATCTCCTCAGAACAACTGAAAAGCAAACCAGAGCTGCATTTGGCTACTCTGAACAAACTTTGTTCCATACCCTGCAGTCTCTCACATAGAAAACAGGATTTCATTTGTAATAGAAAGTTTCCCTGTAGGATTCAAATCAACTTTGAACTTCTGCCACAAGATTAATATCCATTTAGTCACACACTCAGGGCTTGAGATGTATTCCCAGTTCAATTCAGCATGTTTTACAGACACAAAAGAGCTGAATGCCTCCACTTCAGAGATACTCATCAATACCAAAAAACATCTAATTCTCTTTTAACAAATTAAGCTGCATACAATCTGCTACTGCAGGCAGGAATTCTGCTGTGCTGTTTTATCAGAGGGGACATGGAGATGTTCCTTAATCATTTTTAAAACGGCTGAAATACATATCTAGAGGGCCTCACATCTGCATGATAAACAACAGGTTCATACTGAGCTCTTCCTCAAATAGACACAACCATTTCCAGACCTGTTCAGAATATTTTGAGTGTTTGTTCCATTAAAGGGACCAGTGTAAACCTGTAGGTTTTGAATCTCACATTGACACGAGCGATTACAACCCGATGGCACATGTGCCAAACACAGAGTTGAAATGGGCCTTCCCTTCACGTATCTGAGCTTTAAAGACAAACACCTTTGCACAAACTCACTACTGCTTCCCCTCACTGGGTTCCTGCATGGTATCTACACGTAACAGGGCAGAAAACTGCAGCCACTGACACACAACTGTGTGAACAAAGTCTACTCTTAAGCCAAAACCAACTTCTGCATTATTACCCCACCCTGTGGAAAAACCATGGACAAGCAACTATGTTCCCAAATTCCTCAAGCAAGAGTTAAGTTCTGAAGGCTAAAGAACTTATTAAAATTAATGAAACTCTTAATTTGTAAACACAGGTGGTTGGTTTGTGTTTCTTTATGAATCCTTCTGTTATGTTTGCAGCTATGGCTCATTACCAGCTGCAAGGAAGTGAAAAGGCAAACCAGAGAAGTGGATTCTGACTCCACAGTACTTTTCCATTTAAAAGGAAATTGTTACAATTTACCTAGCTCAAAGTACAGCTTCCACTCCATATCAAACTACAGGTTTGTACAAAGTGTTTCGGGTTTAATACATCATAAGCTAATGATAAAAAAATGCTCTTAACTTAAGCATTGCCATACTGTTGCATTAGAAATTCCACTTCTGGTTTTCATCACTCTGGTCCATCAGCTCAATACATTGCTCTAAACATTGGGAAAAAAAATTAAACATACTCACTTTATTCCTTTCCGAGTTATTAGCTTCCCTGAAGTGAAGTTGAAAACCTTTTCAAATCGATTTACCTTGTAAGTAGTCATTCTGTGTCACAGAGCAAAAATACAACCAAGATAAGAAATTGCCATTAGAACTCATCTGACACAGTTGCTTCGCTGTGTGTGGACCATTCATGCAGGTTGTGCTCCATTATCCAGCTCACACGTTCATTCAGCAAACTCACAGGGATGAGCTGGCACCCATCGTGTTCTCTGTCCCGGTCCCATCAGCACAAGCACAGCAGAGTGAGGGCACTTACACTCTTCTGTGCTGAGGTAACAGGAAAAGAAATATGCTTGGACTGCATACTTTTCTCACAAGGAGGCCCAGCACAAGGAAAAGCAGCTTCAAGGATTCCATGCCAACACAGAAAGCTCTGAACGACTTCACATATGGTCAGAGATGTATAAAAGTAGCCCGAAACTTGTTTTGTGCACATGTGGATGCCTTCTAAGGTCTTACTCTAGATTGCAATACTTTCTAATTGATCATGATCAAAAACCTTCAGTATAACACAAAACAGGTCACTCAGACACAAGAGCAGTTACCATGTGCATGCTGACAATTCATTTGTGGCACTTGTGTACTCAAGACTTACTCATAATGAAATCCAACGTCATGATTCCCAACAATCACCACTAGCTCAGTAGAAGCTGGACACCTAAACATTTTCCGAAACCTCCTGACATCATCTGCCCATGCCTGCATGAAAAAAAAAAGGAGAAATTAATGCTGTTCCACAGTATCAAAGGGAATCACTAGTATTGTAGTGGGCTTGCACAGCAAGGTTTTGGTAGCAGTGATGCTACAGGGGTGGCTTCTATGAGAGCTGCCAGCAGCTTCCCCCATGTCCAACAGAGCCCACACCAGCCAGCTCCAAGATGAACCTGCTGCTGGCCACACCAAGCCCATCAGTAATGGTGGTAGTGCCTCTGGGATAACAGTTACAAAGGTGAGAAAAAAGAAAACTGCACAATTGCAGCCAGAACGAGGAGTGAGAATATGTGAAAGGAACAACTATGCAGACACTGAGATCAGTGAAAGAGGAGGGGAAAGAGGTGGTCCAGGTGCTGGAGCAGTGATTCCCCTGCAGCCTGTAGTGAAGACCATGGTGAGACAGGCTGTCTCCCTGCAGCCCATGGAGGTTCATGGTGGAGCAGAGATGCACCTGCAGCCTGTGGAGGGCCCCAGGCCAGAGCAGGTGGGTGCCTGAAGGAGGCTATGAACCCATGGGAAGTCCATGCTGGAGCAGGCTCCTGGCAGGGATCTGTGGACCCATGGAGAGAGGACTCCACACTGGAGTGGGTTTGCTGGCAGGACTTGTGACCCCATAGGTGACCCATGCTGGAGCAGCCTGTTCCTGAAGAACTGCAGCCTGTGAAAGGAGCTCATGTTGGAGAGGTCAGTGGAGGAGTGTCTGCCATGGGAGGGACACCACACTCAACAGGGGAAGGGTGTGAGGAGTCCTCCTCCTGAGGTGGAAGGAGCAGCAGAGACAACATGAAGAACTGACTGCAACCCCCATTCTCTATCCCCCTGCACTGCTGCAGGGAGGAGAGAAGGAATTGGGAGTGAAGTTGAACCTGGGAAGGGAGGGGTGGGGGGAAGGTGTTCTAAAATTTGTTTTTATCTTTTCATTATCCTACTCTGATTTGATTGGCAATAAATGAAATTGATTTCCCCAAGTGGAGTCTGTTTTTTCCATGACACTAACTGGTGACTGATCTCTCCCTGCCCCTCTCTCAACTCATAAGCATTTCATATGAGGAGGGGAATGAAGAGTAGATTTGGTGGGCACCTGCCATCCAGCCCAGGCCAGCACATCACAAGTATGTAAGAGAGAGGCACACACTGAGATGCTTACATTTTGCAAGCTTTATACAAGGGGCAAAATTGTCAAGATACTACAGAATCACAGTATTTCAACTCATATCTAAAACAGTAGAATAAGACAACTACAGCAATATTAAACAAAGCCTTGCATGCCTAGTCTGCTTTCTCCTGTCATCCACTTTCTCCAAGAAATCCTCCTTTTTTTGAAATAAGAGACTTGATGATGTCATACCTGAGGTGAGCTCCATTTTCCTTCATCAAAGGCATCTCCCAGAATAAAAACAATATCTGGCTGCAGTAACCACAAGGCAGTTTGGAAAGACCTCTCCATTTGCCATTCTCTGAAAGGGAAATACAGAGCCAGTCATCACTACCTAACCTCTGGATCCTCAGCTCTGAACACACAGACACAGCTTGGCAATGGGAAGATGACTTCTACACACTGAAATATGAAAACATAATATAAAATTCAAATTAAATACTTAGAAATCAGGTTTAGCTACAGTAAGTGATTCTTACCTGGTGGGTAATTCCACCACAATACAAACAGGACCAACACATGCAAGAATTAATACCAGTTTGTTTATTTTCCCCCTCTACTCTGCTCTCGTGAGACCCCACCTGGAATACTGTGTGCAGTTCTGGTGCCCTCAATGTAAGAAGGTCATGGAACTGTTGGAGCAAGTCCAGAGGAGGCCACGAAGTAGATAAGACAGTTGGAGCACCTCTCCTATGAAGATAGGCTGAGAACGTTGGGGCTGTTCAGCCTGGAGAAGAGAAGGTTGCGTACAGACTTCACAGCAACCTTCCAGAATCTGAAGGGGCTACAAGGGAGCTGGAGAGGGACTCTTTGTTAGGGGCTTCAGTGACAGGACAAGGGGTAAGGGATTTAAATTGAAGGAGGGAAAGTTTAAGTTAGGTATTAGGAAAAGGTTTTTTCCTGTGAGGGTAGTGAGACACTGGCACAGGTTGCCCAGGGAGGTAGTGGATGCCCCAACCCTGGCAGTGTTCAAAGCCAGGTTGGATGGGACCTTGAGCATCCTGGTCTGGTGGGAGGTGTCCCTGCCCATGGCAGAGGGTTGGGACTATACGGTCCATTCCAACCCCTAAAACTCTATGATTTGATTATTTTTTTCATTACAATTCCATTAACAGCAATTAATTAGAACAGTAAATCATTGTCCCATTAGCTACTATTAAAAAGTCTAAAACCAGGATACAGATTATTTAAAAAAAAATAATTACCTTCTTAGCTTATCCAACCAATGTCCTCTGATTTCACCAAGTAGATGGGTATCAGCTAAAATCATGGTCTTTAGGACTGAAGTTGAAGTCTCTTCTTCACCCATATGAGCTCCACCTTTTACTTCTGGCCATTGGCATTGAAAAATTACCACATAATAAATTAAAAACTCGCAAAATATTAACACTGAGCTGACAAAGCACATGAGTTTCAGCAGAAAACAGAGTCTCTTCTTCAGAGGAGGATTCTTCACAGTAGTCAAGCTAGAGCTCAGCATTGCAGTACCAGCATAAGAGTCTTTCCCAATGGGTCAGTTCTCTCTCCGATGAAAACAGCAGGGCCGAGTCAAAGGATCATGTTGGGCTTTTTTGTCAGTACAAAATCCCTGTGGGGTAAATACAAAATGAAATATTCATTAAGTCAGCATTGCCTGTGAAAATCTACCATGCAAGGCCTACAGTCTTAGCTTCTTGTCACCCTGAAAGATTAGGGAATGTGTAGTTGACCTTAAAAGCAAAGTTGGTCTTCTCCTTCAGGTACAAAGACAGCCATGCCACTGAGCCAGGAACTTGGTGCATGATGCTTTTTTAAGAACTATACACTGAAAACACTGAGTGGGGGTCAAAGGTAGGTAAAGACAGAACTTAGCCTGAACAGCAGCAACAACAACAAAACAAAATCCATTAGGATCCATACAATATCATTTCGGTTGGAAAAGAACTCTGAGATTGGGTCCAACCCTTAACCCAGCACTGAGAAGTCCACCACTAACCCACATCCCTAGGTGCCACATCCACAGACCTTTTAAGTAACTCCAAGGGTTGTGACTTCTTCACTTCCCTGGTCAGCCTGTTCCAATACTGGACAAGCCTTTCAGAGATGAAATTTTTCCAAGTATCCAATCTTAACCTCCCCTGGTGCAACTGGAGGTCGTTTCCTCTTGTCCTATCACTTGCTGCTTGGGAGAGGAGACTGACCCCACCTCACTACAACCTCCCTTCAGGCAGCTGTAGAGTGATAAGGTGTCCCCTCAGCCTCCTCTTCTCCAGGCTAAACACCCTCCAGAGGACACCACCTGGCACAAGTATATAACATGACTACACCAAATCAATACCATTACCACTTTTAATACAGCTCATTGTAGCAACCTCAGAGAACCAAAGGCAATTTACTATTCCAGAACAAGTTTACAGGAGCTTTCCAAGAACACAGCCAGTTCACTAACACTGCCTCTTTTCTAACAAGAGGAAAACAAGAAACATCTAAGCCTCGGAAACTGCATTACAGCCATAGAGAAATGTGTGCAAATGAGCCTAAATTGTTAAGGTTACTATATTTACTGCCTCCTTCTGCCTTGCACAGCTTGTAACCCAAACAGGGAACTTACCTCTTTTGAAACTACAATATTTTTTCCTGCCATGTTAAAGGCTAATCCAAAACAAATGTCTTCACTCCAACAATCCACAATTGTAACAGAGCTCATTTATTGTTTCACTCGTTTACAAGCATTTAACAGAAATTCATTATTCCTGGTGTAAGGAGAAAATGCCCACACTTCCACCATTCTGTTTCTTGGAATCATAGAATCACAGAATGGTTTGAGTTGGAAGGGATCATCTAGTGCCAACCCCACTGCCATGGGCAGGGACACCTCCCATTAGACCACGGTGCTCAATGCCCCATCCAAACTGGCCTTGAACACTGCCAGGGATGGAGCATCCACAACTTCTCCGGGCAACCTGTTCCAGTGCTTCACCACCCTCACAGTAGAGAATTTATTCCCTAAATTTCTTCCACCTTTCCTCTTTCTTCCTCTACAATCCTTGGCAGGAACATTTTTTCAATGCAAGTGCCCACAAGACACAAGTATCCCACCTGAGAGGACAGACACACTCTCAAGTAAAATCACTCAGCTTCCACCTGCAACTTAGCAGGTCTCAGTCTGCAGAGCCCAGCATGTCTCAAAGGTACACAGTGCTGCATGGTCACAACGTAAAGGAGACTCCAGGAGAGCTATAAAGATGTTATTTCACATGCTCATGAACAAAATGCTAGAGAAATCCACAACAAAAAGTCTTGCCCTGCACCAGGAAAGGGATTGCAACTTTGCTTTCTACAAAGAAAAATCCCTAGCACAGCACTAATGCCCAGGCCATTAGCAATTACTGAACACAGTACTCAGTGATTAGCACCCAATGGTCATTTGCATTGACCAAACCTGATTACAGCTGTGAATATTCAGTAGTGTAGAATATTGAGACCAGAAATATTAGGGACATTAGGACAGAATTACAGAGCCACTCAGAATTAGTGGATGTGGATCATTTCTCCAGTCCTGGCCTCAGCTACATGCAGAGCACAGAACAAAGCTTAAATTGCTTCAACTGCCCCATGCACTAAGCCCATTCGATTGATGTCTCAAGGAAACTGGAAACTGACACATGATTATTATATCATTTTTCCAGCCAAAACCCCTATTGGATAACAGCCACTTATTTTCAAACATGAGCTTGCCAGATAAGCACTACAAAGTACTTATCTGAGACAAAGAACCATTAGTTTGCATCATGAAACATTTCTAATATGCATTATCTAACACCAGCATGACTAATACTTAATTGCATGCAATCCAGTTCTATCTAAACTTAGTTTAGCAGGAGAAAGTCACTGGCCACATGTCACAATTTCACAATACAGTGGGACTGCACATAAAGGCTGATTAATTTGCTTAACGTTCATCTCAGCTGCACTTTTAACTAGCAATCAAAATCCACATGGTCTTGTTTGTGTATCTCACAGCAAGGCAAGATTAAAGCAGAAGTGTCTGTTAACTGACACAGCAACAAGGACAAAAGACAGGTAAGTTCTTAACTAAACACACACATTTATCTGGCCTTATCCTGCACAAACTGCACCTACCCCAGATTTGGAAGTAGACTTTGGTAGTCCTATAGAGTTTCCTGTTCCAACCAAAACAGTACTATTTCGAACAGAAAAAAATGCCAGTAAGTTGTTTAACTTGCATTAGGTATGTCCAATAAATAAATAAATAAATAAATAAAACAAAATGAAATCACATCTTCAGGAGCAAAATGATCCCATCGAATAAAAGAAAAAAAAAAAAAAAAAAAAAGAGGAAAAAAGCCAAACTACAAAACATAACAGAAAGAAGAAATGAACCAAAACCCTGAAATTAGTAGGAAATAAAAATATCTTCAATGCAAAACTGCCGTTTTTAAAAGCCAAAGCTGCAGCTGACCCCATCAGAGGCAGGAGCCCTCTCACACCTCCCTCCGCCGTGTCTGCTGTCACTGCTCGGGAGCTGTGCTGCAGGGGCGGGAGATGCCAAGGTCTCCCATCCGCGCCCCACGTCTCCAGCGCTCCCGAGAGTGAAAGGAAAAGCGGAAAAGGAAACTGCTCCCACAGCTCCCTCGTGATTCGCATCGGACTTGTTTCTTACTAGAGCTGGAGAACCTGAGTTATGAGAAAAGATTGAAGGATTTCTCACTGTTTCTTGTTCTAAATCTATGTCAGTCATCATAAAGGCGAGATCAGTGTTTTCACCATACGAATTATTTTCAATGGTTTGGGCAGAGATCTTAGAATCATAGAATCAGCCAGGATGGAAAAGACTGATAATATGGGATAAAATGTTTTGAAAATCATGGTAGCTAAAGTAGGCCTTAGTGGCAAGGCAACTAGAATAGGCCTTAATGACAAGAATGAGCATTAGCAGAACAATGTGAACCTGTGCACGTACACCTGGGTACATACCTGTACGTACCCACCTGCATAATTGATAATTATACAACAATAATAGAAGGGGGGCTCAAACTCATGCTTGGGTGAAATACAACAATAATGAAAGGGAACTTGAACTCATGCTTGGATGAAATCAATAGAACAATAGCAAAGTAATGATTAATGTATGATTATACCATGGTTATGTAAAAGAAGAGTATAAAAATGTATCAATCTCATTTCCATGTCAGAGTCAGATTTGGGTCTGTACCCTGACTCCCAGAGCTCTTCAATAAAAGCACCCATGTAATCATTCAGTGATTATGTGTTTTCTATGCTAACAAGACCTCCAAGATCATCGAGTCCAACCGTACCATTGTTACTAGACCATGGCACTAAGTGCCAAAGCTCTGCACCACGGTGAAGCCTTTTCTTACTTCAAGGCTGCACTGCTTCAGCCTTAGCTATTCTGAATGCGTTTTTCTTTAGTGCACTCTATCAAAATGTATCATGACATCTGGAAAAAAAATGTACTGTCCTGCAAATAAGGCTTAAATAGAAACTGTGATGCCCATAGGAGATGGGCACAGGCAGCAAAGGAGGAATTTGCATGCCCACAGTGAAGTTCACAAGGTCTGCTGCTGCCAGTGGTGTTCTCCTTTGAGTTTGGACACTAGAATCATAGAATCACAGAATCAACCAGGTTGGAAGAGACCTCAAAGACCATAGAGTCCAACCCTACTGTCATTACTAGACCATGGCACTAAGTGCCACATCCAGTCTTATCTTGAAAACCTTCAGGGATGGTGAATTCACCACCTCCCTGGGCAGCCCATTCCAATGCCTGATTACTCTCTCTGTAAAAAAAACTCTTCCTAATATCCAACCTAAACCTTCCCAGCAGAGCTTGAGTCTGTGCCCTCTTGTCCTACTGCTGAGTTGCCTGTGAGAAGAGATCAACCCCCACCTGACTACAACCTCCTGTCAGGGAGTTGCAGAGGGTGATAGGGTCTCCCCTGAGCCTCCTCTTCTCCAGGCTAAACACCCCCAGCTCCCTCAGCCTCTCCTCATAGCACTTGTGCTCCAGTCCCTTCAGCAGCCTCATTGCTCTTCTCTGGACCTGCTCAAGCACGTCAATATCCATTCTGAACTGAGGGCCTCAGAACTGCACACAGTACTCAAGGTGTGGCCTTGTTCTAAATATATGTGAGTCATCATAAAGGCGAGATCAATGTCTTCACCACATGAATTATTTTCAATTGCATGGGCAGAGATCTTACCCTATAATAGAAAAATCTGATGTTCAGTAGCTGCGCAAATAACAAAATTCTGCTAGTCACAAAAATTCTTCATTCGGGCAATGTATGCATTCTCTCAGCAGGGAGAAATAACTTTGAACTTTCCCTCATCTACTTTAGGAATGATCCTGCACAACATCTAAAAATTGGCCTGGGGATTCAATTGGCTGGGGAATCAACTGGCTCACGGATTCATTTAATAATGTCACCAAAGTTTGAACATGCTAAAACTATATAC